CTTTACCAGGTGCAGGAGTCTGTCTGCGAGGGCCACACACACTGGGCGCTGCCAGGAGAGAGATTAACGAGGCCCAGGCCCACTGGGGCAGCCCAGTAGAGCCCGTGTTCCCAAAGCATGCCCCGGGGGCCTGGGGGTGCTGGGGCAGCTCTGGCCAGGAAAGCAGCTAGCGGGCACTCGGTTCGGCACAGAAACTGGCAAATGTTGCAAACAAGCTTTGCTTCGGTAGAGCAGATAGTTAAACGTTTACCGCCATGCTGCTGCCTGGGGCTTTCTGAAACCCTTTCAGGGGCTTTGTGTGGGCAAAACTATCTTCATAATAATACCAAGCTATTGTTTGAGTCTTTCATGAGTGGACAGTGGTGTTTTCCAGAAGCGACCTGGCAGCGATACTACAACAGATACTGCAGGAGTAGATACGAAAATCCAGCCATCTTATAGTTAGCCTGGAAATGTGCAAACATCTAAAACAATGCCACTCTTCTCACTAATTTTTATTGTTTTGGAAAATGATTAATTTTCATTAAAGTTATATTAAAGTTTCATTAAAGACATATAAACTGGCTTATTATGATCTTAAAGTGAATTAACAAAATATTTTTCGATTTATCCATTTTAATCTCCAATTTGATAAATCTTGATAGATATAACCCACATAAAAACTCTTCGGGATTCTCAACTTTTTGAAGAGACCGTATATTTTAGAATGATTTTAGGTACGTAGCAAAACTGAGTTGGAAGATGCGGAGATTGTCGATGCATTCCCTGCCCCCACTCCCTCCACAGCCTCCCCATGATCCACGTTTCTACCAGAGTGGCACGTTTGTTACAGTTGATGAAGCTACATTGTGTAAGGGAGGAAAATAATTTTCCCTCTACCCTTCTGAGTTCTCAGCTGAGATCCTGTGTAACAAAAGACAAACTAACAAGAGAAAACCCAACAGAAGTTTCTTAACATATGTGCCTCATGTCTGCTTGGGGGGTGATACCCCAGGCAAACTGGAGGAGCTCCAAGGTGGCATAGAACTCACACTTAAACACTGTTTTAATAAGGAAAGGGTGTGTGTGTATGTGTGTAGACCTTTTACAGGACAGTAAATGATTTTCAGGGAAGATGAATGGGTCCTTAGAAGAATAGATGGAAGATGTTTGTAGCAAAGCGTATCTGGTTGCCGACTTCTCATTCCTTCTTCTGTGCTGAGGCAGGCTTCCCTGGTTGATGAAACTCCCAGAAGGGAGATTTGTGATCATTGAGCTCCTTTTGGAGGACCTGTCTTTAGGCAGATATGGTGTTCAAAGAAAGCCACTTCCTCCACTTGCTATTTTTCAAGTGTCTACAATTCAAAATAATTAATACGCCAACGCAGCATAGTTTGGGTTGGCACGTCCTGAGCTCCCACAGCTTTATTTTGGAGTGGCATATTTTCTACCCTTCTTTCGACACATTATCATCATCCAAGTCCATAGTTTACATTGGGTTTCACTCTTGTATTCTATGGCAGCGATTGTCAGCCAGCGTGCTGCAAGAGGCACGCTCATGTGCCACAAGAATTTTTAAAACCTGCAGGACCCGACTGTCTTGTCGGGGCACTGACCTTTTTTCCGTTAGATTGTCAAATAAATAACGGCTAATGCAATAGTAGCCATCCAGGGGGAACAAATCAACATTACACCTATTTTTTGGTCAGATTGGCAAAAATATATTTTGTTGGTGGGCCACAGAATTCTGGTAATTAGTCTTTGTGTGCCAGGAGATGAAAAGGTTTGAAAATCGCTATTCTCTGGGTTTGGACAAGTATGTAACGATGTGTCCTCCACTATAGTATCGGACCGAGTAGTTTCACTGCCTTAAAAATCCTCAGTGATCCACCTATTCATCTCTTCCTCCCTCCATCCTAACCCCTGGCAGCCACTGATCTTTTTACTGCCTCCATAGTTTCGCCTTTTCCAGAATGGCATATCGTTGGAGTCACAGGGTAAATGTATAGTCCTTTCAGACTGGCTTCTTTTGCTTAGTAATAGGTACACATTGAAGATTCCTCCATGTGTTTTCATAGGTTGATAGCTCATTTCTTTTTAGCGCTGAATAATGTTGCCTTGTCTGGATGTGGTACACTTTACCCGTTCACATCTCGATTGCATGCAAGTTTTGGCCATTATGAATAAGGCTCCTGTAAATATTTGTGTGCAGTTTTATGGGGACATAAGTCTCCCACTCTCTCCAGTGAACACCAAGGAGTGTGAGTGCTGGGCCCAACAGTCAGAGCATGTTTAGTTTTTCAGGAAACTGCCAGACTGTCTTCCAAAGCGTTGCATTCCTACCAATCCGGTATAAGAGCAGCTGTTGCACATGCTGTAATTAAAAACACTTCATTGCTAAAAAATGCTAACATCATCTGTGCCCTCACTAAGTCTTCATCTTTTTGCTGGTGGATGTCTTGTCTCGGTGTTGCTAAAAATGCAGTACCGGTAAAGCGCAAAAAACCGAAGTTCAATGAAACAAGGTGTGCCTATGTTTACCAAAGAGAGAGAGAGAGAGGGAAGGAACCTGTGGTGACACACCCTCACCAGTGTTCGGACGTGGGCCATGCGAATAGGTGTGTAGGTGTACCTCATCATCATTCTCATTTGCATTTCCCTGATGACATATGAAGTGGGCACATTTTCATACGCTTATTTGCACGCGTGTATCTTTTTTGGCGAGGTATATTTCGGATACTATTCCTTTATCAGATATACTTTTTGCAAATAATTTCTCCCAGTCACTGGCATATCTTCTCGTTCTCTTGATGATATCTTTTGCAGAGCAGAAATGCTTCATTTTAATGAAGTTCAGCTTATCAGTTCTTTCATGTATTATGCCCTTGGTGTTATATCTAAAGAGCCATTGCCAAATCCAAGTTTATCTAGTTTTTCCTCCTGTGTTTATTTTCTAGGAGCTTAGTAGTTTTGTGTTTTACATTCAGGTCTATGATCCATTTTGAATTCGTTTTTGCGAAGGGTGTAAAAATCTGTGTCTAGATTCATTTTTGTTTGTTTTTGTGGATTCACAGTTGTTCCAGCACCATTTGTGGAGAGACTATCTTTGCTTACTGCATTGCCTTTGTTCCTTGGTTGGGGATCAGTTCACTGGATTCACGTGGGTCTATTTCTGGGTTCTCTATTCTGTTCTGTTAACTTACTCGTCTGCTCTTTTATTGATACCACACTGTCTTCATTATTGTAACTTTATAGAAAGTCTTAGAGTTGGGTAATGTCAGTCCTCCAATTTAGTTCTACTTTAAAAATATATTTTTATGTATATATTTTTACCCTAACCCAAGGTCATGCTTATTGATTTTAGAGAGAGGGAAAGGGAGGAAGAGAGAGAGGGAGAAAAACATTGATCAGTTGCTTCTTGTAGGCACCCCAGTCAGGGACCAAACCCACTACCCAGGCATGTACCCTGACCAGGAATCAAACCCCTGAACTTCCAGTTTACAAGAAGACACTCCAACCAACTGAGCAACTGAGCCACACTGGCCAGGGATTGTCCTACTTCTTTACTACTGAGCTGGCTATTCTGGGCCTTTGGGTCCTCAGTTATTAAAAGTCTAAAGGTAGGGTCCTGAGATCAAAAAGTCTGAGAACTGCTATTGTAGAGACAGACGGACAGACACGTATGTGAGCACGTTGAAGTTCTGTGCTAGGAAAGAGGTCGAGGTAGCAGAGGGAAAGCTGAGCTGAGTTTTGTACATCCCACTGCCTTGTTCTGGGGGCCAAGCCAGCCTGTTGCTTTAGGGGACAACTCTGGGTCCCAATTTAGATGTCGTGTGACACAGGCATGACCCTGGTCTCAGGAGAGAATCCCAGAGAAGCACAGGATGTGAACTGTCAACCTCCCTTGGGCCCAGAGAACATGTTAGGGCCTTTTGGAATAGGTCTCACACTTCCCCCAGAAAAGGTGGGTCTTGGCCGTTAGGGCTATGCATGTAACTCAAGTGCTATGCTATTGATCTTCATAACTACAATTTTTAACTGAAGAGTAAGCCGTGTTAAAAAGGGGAACCATCACATCTTGCCCCGATCACCTGCCACCCTTGAAGGGCTGCGGGAAACAAATGCAAAGAAAAGGCGGAGCTTTAGTCTCAAACCCCAAGAGAATGAATATATATATATATATATATATATCCCCAGTCTGCTGGACTTCTCCAGAAAGAAAGCTTTATTTGCTGTTAAGAGGCCAGCTTATTTGCTCCCTCTGCTTCCTTCGCCCAGGCCACACGCCAGCCTCAGAGCAACTCCCGTGGTGAGAGAGGTCAGCAGCTGACTTGGGCTGAGCTGAGGACTGAATGGGGCCAGTTGACCTCATCAGCTGCAACAGAATTGTAAGGGATCCCAAGAGCAAGTCAAAGCAGTCAAGCCTGAGGCCAAGCTTTCCTGTCCCCAAGCCGTGGGGAAGCCCATCACCCTCAGGGACCACCCCAGATGGCTTCCCATCTGTGAGTCATTTGTCAAACACATCCCCAGACGCTGCTCTGGGCACTGTGCCAGGAGTAACAGCACTTCTGCTGGGGAGGCAGGGCTTCTGTTCGCCTCGGGGACACTGGTGGGTTCAGAGGGTCCATACAGGTCCAGACCTCAGGCATGAGTGCTCTTGTACAGGCAGACGGTCTAGGGTCCTCATCAGGTTTTCAAAGGCAGGAGGAAGTTCTTTCTCAAAAACAGGCTAAGAGTCACTGTGTTAGAGGTCAGCAGTCATCACAGCTGCTCTGTTGAGAGTTTTCAAGACGTTCGCTCAACGGCATCCATTCAACAAACAGCTGAGCTCTTCCCCACGCCTGGCTCTGTGCAGAGGGCTGGAGACGCGACCGGGAGCGAGCCCAGATGCGCCCGTGTGTCGTTGAGGAAACCGATACAAATCAGACACTCCCACAAATACGTGTCTCATTTCAAATCAAGGCTTGCTGGTTTTATGACAGATTTCACAGTGGATGTTTACTTTTTGTCTGTTTGTCTAGTTTTTAATAGGTAATGCATTCATGTTGAATTCAAAAGGATTGCACAGTGAACGCCCCCTCCCCCACCCCGTCACCCAGCCACTCCCTGGAGGCCATGCATGTCCTCCAGCCTGGTGAGTGGGCCTCCTGCTACTAGACCAGGGGGAGAAGAGCAAGCCCACCTGAGAACAGGAAGCTTGAGATAAAATCTGAAGCATGAATATGAGTTAACTAAGTGAAGGAGACTGAAAAGGGTTAGGGGAAGCACTCTGGACAGAGGCAACAGCTTGTGCCACGACCCCATAGCAGGAGACGCAGGACACACAGGAGACCAGGAGACGGCACCGTGTATTAGAAGAACCAAAAGCCTGAGGCTGGGAGGCAGACAGCAAGGGAGGGAGAAGTCCCGGATGGTGGTGGGTGGGGAGGATGCACTCTTGTAGCCTGCTCAGCACTCTGACTTTTCCCCTAGGAGCCCTGGGAAACCACTGAAAAAGCACGGAAATAACCATCAATCACGCTTGCATTTTGAAAATATCACCCTGGCTGCTGTATGGAGAAGGGGGCCGAGGAGAGAGCAGTTGATGGGTCCTTGTTTAGTTCAGGTGAGAACGGATGTGGGCGGGCGGTGCTGCTTTATCTGTGCACAGCCGGTCCTTGAGTGGCTTCCGTATAAAACGCTGCTTCGTTGAAACGCCGACGAGGTGCCCTAAGAACTTAAACGCTTGTTCGTGTCGGTTGGTCTACGGTAACGTTGCTTCCGTTATGCGTTGTTTTGAGGCAATTTCAAGAACTTTTCAGTGACATTAAGCGAGGACTTACTGTATACTGCAAGGAATGTATTGGTGTGCGTGGTTCTTGCTTCTGAAAAATGCCAACAAAACATTTGCTTCACTGCCCTCAACTGAGTGGAAGAATACTCATAACAACAGTTTGCTTAGAGTGTGGTTAACACCTGGCTGGATTTTGTCCAAGCACGTGGCCAAACCGACAGAATCATGTAGCACCCTGTAAAAAGGTGGATGGACGAAGTTGAAGTCTCCTGGAGTCTTGCTAGAAGACATCAGGTCCGGCCTGCACCCCTGCAGATGTCTCCCCCCCGCGGGAGCCCTCCAGCGGCTGCAGGTTGCCGCTGTTGTCCCGGGGTCACACACAGAGTGACCATGTGAGTGATGTTCAATGACGAAAACTCCCGCTGCTTGCAGTCGTTGGGGTATGTGCGCACTTCACTTCCCTTCTGGTCTCCTGCCTGCCCCCTCCCGCAGAATGGCTTACTCTGAGGAGCAAGGAGGCGCCCCCCGGGGGTTCATCCGCCAGAATTCCGGCAACTCCATTTCCTTGGACTTCGAGCCCGACACGGAGTACCAGTTCGTGGAGCCGTTGGAAGAGCGGTACAAATGCGCCTTCTGTCACTCCGTGCTTCACAACCCCCACCAGACAGGCTGCGGGCACCGCTTCTGCCAGCACTGCGTCCTGTCCCTGAGGTGAGTGGGCAGCTCGGCTCTGGCCCCGGCGGGCCGGAACCAGAAGGCGTGTCCTGGGATCTGAGTGGCCTCTGTGGTCACCCAACTGTGATCTCGGTTTTGGAGTCGCTGTGATTGGCCGCAGAACCACACAGAGGAGGGGGGCTGCCCCAGGGCCCTTCTCTGAGACCCTGAGGAGCAGTCTTCACTTTTTGCCACCCACTGACTGATGTGCACCTTTTGCTCAAATTCAGACCACAGCCGTTTTGCATGCCAGGGCAAACCCAGGAGCAGGCTGTGCGGGGAAGATCCCCGAGGCCTTTGCTGCAGTGCCCCGGCCGTACCCTTGGGTGGCGTTTCCTCCAGGAGGACACTCGCTGCTACCGCGCTGTCCCCTCCAGGGGGGCTGTAAAACCTGGTCGCGCTGTGCTGAGGGAGGAGACCAGGAGAGACAGAATAGCAGGCACTTGGGGCTGGTAGCGCCTGCTTAATAAGCAGGTCATATCCTGCCAAGCTTAGAAAGGAGGTTAGCACAGCACATCCCCATTCCTTCATGGGTTCACTCGCTCAGTACCTGTGCACTCCAGGCGCCTTGGTGAATTCAGCTCTGCTGTTCAGAGCTGAAGAGCCAGAGGCCCATTGTGGAATAGGACCCAGTCTCTGCCTTCTAGAACGTTCCTGTCTAGTGGGGCAGACAGGTTGTGGTACGGTGTCATAAGCAAAGGACTGCAAGGGAACATAGGCAGGGGGCATTTAACTCGGTCCGGGGGACTCCTACTTGACTTGTGTCCTGGGTGATGAATGGGAGGTTTTCAGGCACATTGGAGAGGTGCTGAAACTGGGGCGTGGGGGACCTTCTGGGAGAAGGGCACGGCATGAGTAAAGTCAGGCAGGGCCTGGCCTGCTCTGCGGGGACTTCAGAAGCTGAGCGTGGCTGGGGTGCTGGGGCCGCTCTTGGAAGAGCCGTGGAGGTCAACTCTTAATTCTGGCTCTATTTTTATTTTTCTCTCCAGAGAATTAAGTGCAGTGCCGCTCTGCCCTGTAGATAAGGAGGTTATCAAACCTCAGGAGGTAAGAAAATCACTGCTTTGGTTCACCCGCTCTCTAGGCAATAGAGAAGCCAGTGTCCTGACTGGATGTCTGGGTTGGAGCAGGAGCATGGCCACGGGGACCTTCCGTGGAGTCCGTGTTCCTCTGCTGAGGGGCCAGGTCAGACCCCACTCCTGCCGCTGCTGAGAGAGGCTTGTTTGGGTCTTTACTGACTCCTCAAGTTTCCCGTCCTCCTTCCTCCTTGCCCCCCGCCTATGCTGCAATTGACTCACTTGGAGAAATGAAACATCCTGTTTTCTGGAATTCATTTTCTCATCTGATGACTCTCCCAAACTTCCTTTTGTTATTATGATGTCTAATAATAGCCTATTGGGATATAATTCATACGTCATTAAATGTACTTTCCAAGTGTACCTGTTTCATGGGTATGTACCCAGGGGTGGCATTGCTGGGTCATGTGGTGACTCTGCACTTAACATTCTCAGGACCTGCCAGACTCCTTTCCAAAGCAGCTGCACCGTTTTATGCTCCTACCAGCAATGTGTGGGGGCTCTCGTTTCTCCTAGTCCTTGCCAGACTTTGTCATTGTCCATGATGATAGCCATCCTCGTGGGTATCAAGAGGTACCTCGTGGTTTAGATTTACATTCTCTAATGATTAATGACGTTGAGCATTTTTCATGTGCTTGGCCATTTGTCTGGATTCTTTGTAAAAAAAATGCCTATTCAATTCTCTTTCTCATTTTTTCAGTGGATTATTTCTCTGTTATTGTTGAGTTCTACAAGTTCTTTATAGAACTTGTCTGTTAAGAGACTTGTATATTCTGGATACAAGTCTCTTAACAGACATCTGATCCACAAATATTTTTCTCCCACTTTGTGGGTTGTCTTTCCGCTTTCTCAATGGTTTCCTCTGAAGCACAGTAGTCTTCCTTATATTTTGTTTGTTTGGCCACTTGTTCTTTTAGTGTTGTAGCTAAGAACCCCTTACCTAAGCCATGGTCATGAAGATTTCTTCCATTTAAACATCGTTTTAAGCTGCTTTCTTCCTTCAACAGTCTGTCATAGGACATTCTAGCATCACCGGCACCGGGAGGCTCTCTGCACACCTGTCTGATACACACGCTCCTTCCCTGTGCTCCTGTGACTCATCCTGAGATGCGCTGGCCGAGGATGAGGCCGTACTCGGGTCTGCCTCACCCAGAAGGCCAGGGGTGGGCAGACCGCAGCATGGGATTGGTTGGGACAAATCCTGCCTGCCACCTGCTTTTGTATGGCCTGTGAGCTAAGAATGGTTTTTATATTTTTAAATCATTGGAAGCAATTAAAAGAGGGGCGCACAGAAACTCTGTACTATTTTTGCAACTTCTTATCAGTTTTAAACTATTTCAAAATAAAATTTTAATTTAAACTAAGACTAATATTTTGCAACATGTGAGAATTATATTTCGGTGTTCATAGATAACATGGTATTGGAACACAGCCATGCCCATTCATTGAAGCCTGGTGTACGGCAGGGTTGAATAGTTACCACAGAGACCACTGCAATGTGGCCTGCAAGCTGAAGACATTTACTCTCCGACCCTTTATGGAGAAAGTTTGCCAACCCTTGATTCACGCTGAAATAGCAAGTCAGCACAGCTTCAGTGATACCACCTGATACAAATCTCTCTGCTGGGACAGAAATCTGAATGTGTCACCCTTAGCCACAGCCCCACTTCCTCGCCATGGATCATATGGGGTCAAGTTCACCATGAGATTCTCCTAGCTGCAGCTGACTGCTCTGGACATTAAATTACTTGGCTTGTATGTTTAGTGACCTTTCAAAAGTATGTTTCTGAGACAGTTCTTTCTTTTACGGTGGTGAATCTGGTATTTCCATCTCACCCACCCTCCGGGAGTTTCACCCGACTTCTGAGGTGTGCCTGAAGAGCAAATTAATAATACCTTTAACCGTGTGCCCCTAAAGCTTTGGTGCGAAACCTATCACGTTTATCTTTCAGGTGTTTAAAGACAACTGCTGCAAAAGGGAAGTCCTCAATTTATATGTGTATTGCAAAAATGCTCCTGGATGTAACGCCAAGATTATTCTGGGACGATTCCAGGTTGGTATGACTCACGAACAATATTTCCCTTTGCCAATTTCCAGTGACGGGCATCGAACACCTTTTTGTGACAGTGGCTGGGCTAAGTAAGCGTGGGAGGCGACTGGGTTGCCCTCAGAGGATCCCTGTCCAGGACTCCTGCCGCACAGCCTGCCAAGGGCTGAGGCGCGAGTGCAGAGGTTTGCTCTGTCTGGAAGGCTTGCAGGACCTGCTACCTGTGCTAGACCTTGAACTGTGGGTTAGGGGCATTGATCCAAAAGTGAAGATGTGTGACATCCTGGGCCAAAGGCACACTTTAGCAAGGACATGTCATTTGGGGGGTTTGGGGTCCCTAGGGTTGGAGCCAAGGTATGACTGCCCCAAAACATTTGCAGATACTGGGGGTTGGGGGGTGTTTCCCAGCAGCTGTGGGCCCCCCGGCCTCTTACTAGAATCTGTGATCTAAGGCAGATAACAGACCAGAACAGAGAGAGGGTGAAGTTTAAACGTGAAATGGTGTTAGGAGATCCAAACAAACAAGGCACAGGGAAGTGAAGGGAGTCAGCTCTCTCTCAGATGGGACTGTCCTACCTGGCTCTTCCATCCAGCAGGGGAAGCTTGCGACATCCAAGGCCGGAACTGTGGCTGTGCCACAGCAGGCCCCAATCAGGTTTGATCACACTACGAATGAATAAGACTCAGGCACGTCAAGCTTCCAGGGAATTGCTTGGAGGCTGCTCAGACTTTCCGCTCCCACCCACACATTTGGGAACAAATTTTAGGTGATTCAGTCTTTTCTCCATCCTGCCACCAAACCCCCCAGGCGCTGAGCTTATAAATGTGTAAATGATTTCCTTGTTAACCCAGGGAGTTCTTTGGGAGCTACGAGTACTTTGTTGTGTTTTTCTGTAGCAGCCTCTGGCGATTTGTTCCAATAGTCAGCTCCTAGAGCAGGCCCTCCTTTCCGACTGTGTTGCCACTAAGCCTGAAAAGGAAATGAGACTCAAATGGACCACTGATCAGTTTTGGTGACCAGGTCACCAGCTTCTAGAGAACGGGAGCTGCTTCCTTTCCACCTGTTCCTTTCGTATCACCCCTCATTTGCTGTTTTCCCTACCTTGCGAAGTAAGGGGTGGGACCTCACAAGGAGCAGTCTTGATGAATGCTGACTATTTGAGTGAATTGAGTGAGTTTTGAATAACATGTGGATTTTTAAAATATATATATTTTATTGATTATTCTGTTACTGGTGTCCCAAGTTTTCCCCTTTTGCCCCCCTCCACCTGGTGCCCCCCTCTGCCTGTGCCCCCTCCCCTCCAGCAGCCCCCCCCCCTTAGTTCATGTCCATGGGTGGTGCATATAAGTTCTTTGGCTTTTCCATTTCCTATGCTATTCTTAACTGCCCCACCTACAGGGCAAGTTAAATGGTAGGTACAATTGCTTTTTGTACCTACCAATTATGCTTTTTAATCCCAGCATCTTTTCCCCCATTCTCCCCTTTCCCCCTTCCAGCACATAACCCTTCAAATGATCTCCATATATGATTCTGTTCCTGTTATGGTTGATTGTTTAGTTTGTTTCTTTAGATTTAATTATTGATTGTTGCAAATCTGTGGCCATTTTAATGTTCGTAGTTTTGATCTTCATTTTCTTAAGTAAGTCGCTTTAACATTTCATGTAATAATGGCTTGGTGATGATGAAATGCTTTAGCTTTACTTTCAATTCTAAATGATAGCTTTGCAGAATAGAGTATTCTAGGTTGTAGGTCCTTGCTTTTCATCACTTTGATTACTTCTTGCCAGTCTCTTTTTGCCTGTAAAGTTTTGGTTGAGAAATCAGCTGACAGTCTCACGGGAACTCCTTTGTAGGTAACTCTCTGCTTTTCTCTTGCTGCTTTTAAGATTCTCTTTTCATCTTTAACCTTGGTATTTTAATTATGACGTGTCTTGGTGTGGTCCTCTTTGGGTCCAACTTGTTTGGGACTCTGTGCTTCTTGACTTTTATGTCTCTTTTTCCTTCACCAAATTAGGGAAGTTTTCTTTCATTATTTTTTTCAAACAAGTGTTCAGTTTCTTGCTCCTTCTCTTCTCCTCCTGGCATCCCTATGATTCAGATGTTGGCACGTTTAGAGATGTCCCAGAGGCATCTTATACTATCCTTTTTTAAAATTCTTTTTTTTTCTTGCTGTTCTGGTTGAGTGCTTAGTTCTTCTTTATGTTCCAAGTTGTTGATTTGAATCCCAGCTTCATCCCCTCCACTATTGGTTCCCTGTAGATTTTCCTTAATTTCACTTAGTGTAACCTTCATTTCTTCCTGGATGTTTTTTTAAAATTTTGTTGCCATATTCAATGAGTTCTCTAAGCATCCTGATCATCAGTGTTTTGAGCTTTGCATCTGGTAAGTTGGTTATCTCCGTTTTATTTAGTTCTTTTTCTGGGATTTTGTTCTATTCTTTCGTTTGGGCCATATTTCTTTGTCCCCTCAATTTGGCAGCCTCCCTGTGTTTGTCTCTGTGTATTAGGTAGAGCTGCTTTGACTCCTTGTCTTAGTAGTGTTATCTATTATAGAAAAAGCACCTGTAAATTGTGTGGAGTGGAGCCTTAGGTAATCGCCAGGGCGGGGCAGGGCAACCTGTTTCGCTGCTTTGCAGCTCTGTGTTGGGGGCCGGACTTGGAGAGGGGACAGTGCCACTGTCTGGCTTCTGGAGGTTTGCCTGGCACTGGCCTTGTGCAGCTGGTGCCCTTCCAGCTGTTTCCCTGGTGCTGAATCCCAGAGGAGGTGGGTCTGCATATGTCTTAAGTACTTGCAGGCCCTTTAAGCTGAGTCTTCTGATAATCTTCCAGTTCTGTTGCTGCCCCAACTCCCACTGGTTTTTATAGCCAGAAGTTATAGGAATTTATCTTCTTAGCATTGGAACCCTGAGCTGGGCAGTCTCGCCTGGGGCTGGGATCATTCACTCCCAAGGTATCCTTCCCAAGTTATATCCACCACACGCAAATGTGGGACCACCCATTCTGCTGCCTGCTTGTCCCCACCTCCTCCACCCCTCCCCACATCTCCACCCCTCCTACCCATCTGACAAATGTGGCTTCTTTAAATCCTTGGTTGTCAGACTTCCATACAGCTTGATTTTCTGATAGTTCTGCATGTTGTTTTGAGGTCTAGCTGTAATCCTTTCTGTGGTTGTGTGAGGAGGCCAAACATGTTCACTATGCCTCCATCTTGACTAGAAGTGAATAAGATGTGGATTTCATTTGTCATCACCGTTTGTTTCTTACTAACAGAGGCAAAGGAAAACAGCTATAATATTTACCTCCTACGGAAAAACTCTTTGCCATTCTTTTCCTTCGAAGAAGGGGTCAGCAAACTGTTTCTGTCAAGAGCTAAACAGCAAATATTTTAGGTTTGGCAGGACATACAGTCTCTTGTCACAATGGCTCAGTGTTCCCATTTTAGAAGGAAGGCAGCCATAGATCTTATGTGAGCAAATAGGTAAGTGGCTACTCTCCAATAAAACTTTATTTACAAAAACAAGTAGCAGGTCAGGTTGGTCCAAGGGCCATAGCTTACCAACCAGTTTTAAAGGATTTTAAAGTTCACTAGGAGTTTGACAAGTTGTCAGAATCGCAATAACTTACAGTCATTCAAAGGTTTTATTAAAATATGCTTCTTTTCATAAATCTCTAATGTGAAGACAGCTAGAATGAACACTATTTATGTCATTATTCTCTTGTATTCTAGTTAAAAACACTTCCCGACCTTATGAGAACGACCATCCCTACCCTTTTGTGGACCTGTGATCCTGTGTTTCCTCTTCCTTCTTTTCTCAACCACTTCCGGCCCAGCTTCCTCTCCCTCCCTGTTCTTCCTTTAATCCCTTCCCTTCCTCCTTCCCTTCTGTCCTGGCTTTTACCGTCTGCTGTGCAGAGTTTAGTACTTGGTGCTGGTGGTGATGAGTACACAAAAGAAATAGAAAATACTTTTGAAGATCTGGTAAATTCATTGGCAAGCCGAAGGAAAATATTCAAGAACTAAGCAGAGAATGTGAGCATGGTCCTAGGTAATCTAAAATAAACTCACTATACCTCGTCCTTCACCCATCTTCCACCGACCTCCTAACTCCCACCAAGCAAGGCTGGCTTTCGCAGCCTTGGTCAGCCCTGGCTGCCCTCCCTCTGGTGCCCCCTAGCGCTCTCACCCGGCCTTGCCGTCGCATCCCTCCCACCATTATCTGTTGCAGGACCACCTTCAGCAGTGCTTGTTTCAAGTTGTGCCGTGTTCTAATGAGAACTGTGGGCAGCCAATCCTTCGGAAACACCTGAAAGAGCACTTGAGTGCATACTGTCAGTTTCGAGAGGAAAGATGCCTTTACTGCAAAAAGGATGTGGTGGTAATCAATCTACAGGTAAAAGAAAAAAGTCACTTTTATGGGGCTAAAATCTGCCTCAGTGATCACATTACTCAGATGGGCTACCAGAAGCACCTTTCTGGATTTATTTTTGTACAGAAATAGGTCTAAAGAATAATTTTGTAGGAGAGAAGTTCTGTAAAAAACAAAAAGCCTTCTCATTGGTGGGACTCTGTTCTTTGATTATTGGCAAAAATATTCTTTGAGCACCTGCTGGGGGTGAATGCACACAGCTGGACGCTAGTGTTGGGTCACCGGAGGTGCCCATACTGCCTGTCCTTGGGATGCTGTGACCCAACTGGAGAGCTAAGGTGCAAGCGTGAAACGGAGCGTGGGTGCCTGCACCGAAGGAGCCACACGATGCCTCCCACAGCCTTCCCTCTGTGCACCCTGTGCCCTCCTTTTGGAATAACTGGAAAATCGAGTGGGATTGAGTTCCCTTGTATGTAGAAAGCAGCCCCGTGTACATAGTCCTTTCTGGAATGAGGCCATACCTTCCCATGGATGGCAAGCCGCATAAATAGATCTCCCAAGAGACATGTGCATGAACACTCGGAGGGCACAAAAGGGGACCCTGGGAAGCAAGGGTGGCTCTGTTTCACCGCACTTTTCTCTGTTCCAGAATCATGAGGAAAACCTGTGTCCCAAGTACCCGGTATCTTGTCCCAACAAGTGTCTGCAGACTATTCCCAGAACTGAGGTAACTGGAAATAATTCTCTCAGGAGATTGTATGTAAGATAAACTTTTAGTGATCATCATGGCGAGCGCCTAGGCAGACTCGAGACTCAAATGACAGCCACGATAACTGCGCCTCCGTCCTCCCTTCCCTTTTCCTGAGAATTCTCCTCTGTTTTCACCAAAGTGCTCCCTCTGCCAGGCCCTAGCATGGCCTTTTCCTTCTCTTATCCCTGCCATTCTTTCCAACCCCCCACATCGGCTCCCTGCTTCCTGCAGTTACACCAGGCAGTGGAGAATCGCTGACAAATTTCTGTAGCGTGAGGCTGTTCCTTTCATAGGTGGATGAACACCTTGCTGTGTGTCCTGAAACAGAAAAGGACTGTCCTTTCAAGCACTGTGGCTGTCCTGTGAAGGTACGGAGTGTCTTTTTGTTTCCGCCGCTACGTTCTGCTATATCAGTTCATTGGGCGAGTTGACTGTACTCTTTGATTCCATTGGGGCACAAAAGGGCATTCACGTATGAGAACTGTAAGACTGGCAGTTGGATGTGTCAGGGCTCTTCAGAGACACAGAACCAACAGGAGATATAGAACATAAGTAACGTATAAATATATAAGCGTATATATTTATAAATATATATATTTGCTATATATTTGTCTTTGCCATTAAAAGGGTAAGATTCACCTTTCTAGTGCATGGACTACAGAATTGCTTTCCAGCTCTGAAAGGAATCCTCTCTAGTTTGGCCCAAATGTCCAACAGGGTTCTATTTTAGAACTTACATCAGAACCAGAGCTGGCGACAGAACTTGCTCTCCGGATGAGGGGCCAACCTTAAACAGAAGACAAATTGACAACGACTGTTTGCTTAAAGTTCATGGAGCTCCCAGAACCCCTACAATTTGCTTTTATTGCTGACACAGGCACTTTGCAATGACTGGGAGGGCAACGCACTTGCATGGGCTGGAATTACAGTTTGGACACAAGCCTGTGACAGCAGGACGGTGATAGAATAGAAATGTGCTTGGTGGGAGGGAGAGCCATCAGAACCCGTCTGGAGCTAACTCGCCCAGGAGACAGGTTTTGTATGGGGATAGTTGAAAGATGATAACTACACTTAGCCTACAGGGCTACCCTATATAACACTACCCTATATAACAGTTATATACAGGGTATATAACTTCCGCTCTCTAAGAAAGAGAGCCAGAGAAGGCCCTGGCCCCTGCCTGGACAGGCTTTTATTGCTTTTCTGGGTACATTACACTGAGGTCGGTCCTCATTTACTATGCATAGGTTCACTGCAGGGGACTACCTTTTCCAGATAACAAAGGAAAGAATGTTGCTACTTACTTCAAAGAGAAGAATGTTACAGGATTAAGGGGAAAAGTGGTTGAACCTGTTACACTCCATACTTGGGAGGTTTAGCAGAGACTTTCGGAAGTTTCAGTAAGCACTTTCTGCCTCAATTCAGGGTGAGAAAGTTTCAGCAAAAGCAAGTCTCATAGCAGCCTCGGTACAATGCAGGCCTGATTCGCCACTGGAAAAGTAGGTTTCTCTGAGTATGCAAAACAGAGTTCATTCTTGTATTATTATTATTTATGAACTATTGTGTTATTTTCCATATAAACAACTGTAAACCTACTTTTGCTCCACCCTGTATTCCCAGGGCAAGGAAGGAAATCAGTGTTGAGAGTTTTGACAGTGGCCTGAGTCTCTGTCTGAGTGAGTTTAAAATTGTCCAGTGGGTACTGTTGAATCCTAATGCTAGGAAAGGGAACTGCAGGGGCCATTTTTTCTGCAACCTGCCTCGAGAAAAGTAAGCAAAGTTGTTCCAGTTCTGCTTTGGCAAAGTATCCCGCCACCATCCTCGCTCTGGGGGACTTGCAACTGCCTGACTTACTGTCGTCTCCATCCTGAAGGGTAAACGGGGGAACCTGCAGCAACATGAGCGCTCAGCCTTACAGGACCACCTGCTGCTCGTTTTGGAAAAGAACGTCCAGTTAGAAGAACAGGTAAATAAATAGTCCGGGGTTCAAATGCAAAGGGAAGTGGCAGAATTGCTGGGATTTGCAATTTTGGGTATTCCTGTTCTCTGTTTCAGTATGAGTCAACTGGAGGTAGGTGTTTGATGCATATCCTGGCTGGCAGGACCCATGTGTTGTGGCTAAGAGAGACAAATTCACACGGACTACAGAGGTCCTATGAAGAAAAAGGGACAGCATGGCCGCTCTCTAAGAGAGAGAGCAAGAGAAGGCCCTGGCCCCTGCCTGGACAGGCTTTTATTGCTTTTCTGGGTACATTACATTGAGGTCGGTCCTCATTTACTATGCACAGGTTCACTGCAGGGGACTACCTTTTCCAGATAACAAAGGAAAGAATGTTGCTACTTACTTCAAAGAGAAGAATGTTACAGGATTCAGGGGAAAAGTGGTTGAACCTGTTACACTCCATACTTGGGAGGTTTAGCAGAGACTTTCGGAAGTTTCAGTAAGCACTTTCTGCCTCAATTCAGGGTGAGAAAGTTTCAGCAAAAGCAAGTCTCATAGCAGCCTCGGTACAATGCAGGCCTGATTTGCCACGGGAGAACCTCTCTGTGGGCGTAGCTCCTGGGTGCTGGGACCTCGCTCCCCACTGACCTTCGAGAGTGGGAGCTGGGCTACATTCCCATGCCACTGTAAATGGTTCCCTATAGGTGTTTTTCTACTAAGTGGCCAGAAAGAGTGTTGGGATTATAGAAGATTAGAAATGGAAGGAGGCTTTTAAATCATCAGTCAACAGATGAAGTTGATTAAAGTCCAAGAAATCCTGTGAGTTTATCTCTTGTGTCAGGATTCACTCTCAAATTCATGCCCCCTGATTCCCAGTCCAGCGCTCTTCATGAGCTACCATAACGCCTGTCTACAGCCTCTCCACACACCTTTTGGTTAATAATAATACCTGGCACCTAGTAGGTGCCTAGTAGGTGTCTGATGTTTTAAAATTAAATCAACATGACCATAAAACAACAGTGGACAGTCTATTCTAGGCCTACGGGTTTTATAGGTCTTGTAGTAAGTCCTCACTCCTGCCTTTGAGAAGCTTTGCAACCTGATAAATGCTTATGTGCACATTGATTTCACTGTGTTGCAATGATCAAGTGAAAGAATATGTGCAAGTGCTGACTCTACTGAGTCATTATTATAAAAGTTCATTATTGTTTAGGACATCTCAGAGGATCAGGCTTTTCAAGGCCACATAAGGAAGGAAACCATCTATCTGCAGAGAAGGAGCTGAATTTTCTGCTGCAGATTATTCTATAGCGTCTGATTCCAGATCAAAGAATCTAGGCTGTGAGTTCTAGGGTCAGATCCTGGGGAAAATGAAAGACTGATTAAACTGTAACTTTGGCCGAAGCCATGCTGCCTAGTAGCCATTCCCAAAGTCTCTCTGTACCACTGCCTCGTGCACCCATCCATTCATTTAACAAATACCTGTGTCAGGTGTCATGGTACCTCACAGGTGTCAAGTACCGTGTTAGTTGCTAGGGACACTGAGTTGAGGAAGACACAGTCTCTATCCTTGAAGAACACACAAAAATGTACAGAGTTGAGTTGCTGCACCTCACAGGACACGCTATGAGGGTCCCCAAGTCTGGGTTCAGAGTCTGCATCAGTTTATTCCAGAGACGTTGGGGAAGGACGTCTGAGCTGCGTCTTGAAAGGTGAGAAGGCCTGTCGGTTAAAATGTTGTGGGAAGAGGTCATTCCAGATGGGAAGTCTGTGCCAAGGCAGAGAGGCATGGGAGAGGCTGACGGTCCAAGGAAATGAGACATACTTTTGGGGTGGAGAGGCACTTGAGTGTGAGATGGGGAGTGGTCGGAGTCTAGTCCATTCGATGCAGGATGCATTGGCCATCCATGTCAGCTAAGACATGTTTTGAACACTATGCATTCAATTATTTTTTTACTCGTTAATATTCTGCCTTATTTCAGAAAGGATTTAAGGACCAAAAGTTCAAACTGACATTTGTCAATAATAGGGAGCTAATGAAGGCTTTAAATTGGAAAAGTACTTGGCCAGCCAGTGGTTTGTTTGCATTTGAAAAGTCAGACAGCTGACAGTGGCTGGAAGGTGGATAGAGGGACCGGGCGGATGCTCCACACTAGTCCCGTGCATTTGGGGTGCTGCCTAACCTCTCTCTGCCCCAACCTTCTCATTTGTAAAATGGGTTGTGGTGAGGGTTAAATGAGATGATATCTTTAAGCTCTTAGTGCTGTGCCTGGAATGTAAGCATTTTGTTATCAGGTGGATGCAAGATGCTGGAGGAGGTGGTGGTGATGCTGAGGGCCTGACCAAGGCTGCATCAGTGGGGGTAAAAGAGGGCATTGGGAAACATCCCACTGTTGTGCTGGGAGGCCATAAGCTTCTAAGGCAAGGAACATGGTGATGTTTGGGGGCAGGTTGGACATGAGGGTTGGGAGACTCCTGAGTTTGCTTTTGTTCAGGGAGACATGTCTGGTGTGTAGGTGGAAGTCAGCTGGCGGGGTCTTACCAGAGGATTCTGGGCCAGGGAGCAGATGGGCATTGTGCATTCATTCCTAAGACCTGTATCAGAGGCCCTCTGTGTGCCAGGCACTGTGGGAGGCTTTGGGGATAAAGAAATAAGTGAGATGTAGCCTCTAGAATTTAGTGAAGAAAAAAAGACCTAAATTACCAAAAAAAAAAGCAGTAAGAGTAATGAGGGTAAGTTATGCACTAGAACAAGGGTGTCAAAGTCACTTTCACCAGGGGCCACATCAGCCTCGTGGTTGCCTTCAAAGGACTAAATGTAACTTCAACTCCTTAACAGTTAAGGAATAGTTACATGTATACAGTCCTAATATTACATTTGATCCTTTGAAGGCAACCACAAGGCTGATGTGGCCCCCGGTGAAAATGAGTTTGACACCCCTCCACTAGAGTATGGTCAGGGTGTCATGGAACTTGAGAGGTGGCCCGGGTGGGTGTTCCTAGTTAGGAAATGGTTCTGAGAGGATGTGCTCTTGAGCGGTGGCTTAGAGAGCAGTACTTTCTAGATGCAGGAGGAAGTGTCTGAGAGAGCAAGATAGAAGTCGTGTACTTGTGCTGTGCAGAGCGCACCAGGGGTATGAGTGGGCATGAGGCTGCAAAGGCCGCCCGGGCAGACTTGTAGGGCCCCGGGTGGCCAATAAAAGGCCACCAGAGACAGGTGAGTGGGGGATGACAAAAGCAGTCGCTTCATAGTATTGTAGACACCATATTGAAGTATGCACTGGAGGGAAACAAGACTAAAGATAGGGAGAGCATTCATTCATTCATTCAACAAACATCTAACAAGCACCGGCTGGTGCCAGGTACCAGTTGCTGGGGCTACAGTAGCCAGTGTGATCCATGCCAGTCCACGCTCCCAGAGAGCTGCCCTTCTGGCGTGTGTGTGAGGGAGAGTGTAGGACCGCTGGGTCACCAGGTAACAGTCCAGGTGAGCAGTTATGAAGGCCGAAACGAGTGCCGAAATGAGACAAGACGAGATGGGAAATGGATGGAGGAGTTGCTTTGTTCGTTTTGCTGTGTGTCCAGAGTTGGCAGGTGTTGCCCAGTGAGCAGATGTGGGGATGAGAGGGGAGCTGTCCGGGGTCACTCTTAGGTTTTTGGTCATTTCTTACAAATAGATTACAAATTCCGAGAGAGTAGTGTGTTTTGCCTACCACTGGGAAGATTACTTAAACTCTCTGCCTCTGTTTCATGGTCTGTAAATGGGGACTGATATTCACACCCAACTCACAGGGTTCTTTGAGGATAAAAGAGCTAGTGAACAGAAGGGTCCGATAGATATTCAGCAAATTTCAGCTGTTCTGTTGACACTGTACTTAATGCATGTTTAAATGCAGAGTATTTACTGTGGTGTGGGGGTCAGGACTCTGTGGTTGTTCAGTAAGTGCTTCCTGAGCACTTGAAGGGAACCAGTTCAGAAAATTCAGTCAGGTGGTATCACTGTCATCAGATGAACCATCGCAGTGGGTTAACCATCGGAAGGGTGGGTGAGAAATCTGTGGATCAGGTCTTTCTCAAAGTGCTTGTGAGTGGTTTCCTAGGATTATATGGGAATCCACCTGTAAATATTTTTCTAAATATAAACTAAATATATATATATAATTCTATGTGTAGATAAATAATTCTATATATAAATATGTATATATTATATATAATGTATATGTATATATATAGCTTTCCTAGAAACACTTCCTACCTGCAATATTCTTCTAGAACTACATTTGTTTTAATTTGCATGCATGCATTTAAATGACCTCATTCACATTTCTGTTTTTAGATTTCTGACTTACATAAGAGCCTTGAACAGAAGGAGAGTAAAATCCAGCAGCTAGTAGAAACTGTAAATACATTTGAAAAGGAGTTCAAGCAGTTTGCACAGCTCTTTGGCAAAAATGGAAGCTTCCTCTCAAACATCCAGGTGAGAACTGACCTTTCTATCCATAGCCAAGGTTTAGCCTTCAATTGGTAGTCATGGTTTCTCTTCCAACTTTTTAAATGGAAATAATTTTAAATGTATAGAAAAGCTACAAGAAAAGGGACAACTGTAATAGAATAATCAATAAAATATATTTTAAAAAAAGAATAACGCAGTGCAAAAAATGCCTGGATACTCTCCACCCACACTCACCCACTGTCAATATTGTGTCCTGTTTGCTTCATCATTCATATTCATTCATTCGTTCTTTCTCTCTCCTCTTGTTCTTTTTGAATCACTTGAGAATAGGCTGCTGTGTTATGGCATTTTACCTCTACATACTTCAATATGCATGTATTTCATGAGAATAGAGATCTTCTTTTACATAACCCCAGTATGTTTAGCAATATCAGTAAATTTAACACTGATACAATACTTTTGTATTATTTATGGCATGTAGGGTTTTAATTAATGTTGGGCCAATATTAGTCACTCAAGTTCAGGTTTATTGAGAGCATTTGTAATTCTGCATTTTGTAGTCAACTAAGTGAAACTATTAATTCTTTGGGAAGAAAATGCTTTAAACACCACTCGAGTATAGCAAAAATTATCTATAAATCATGAATGCAAAATAACCATAAACAGATTCCTAATGAATCATGTCTTTATTGTGATTATGTAACCTTTAGTTAAAAAGATTTCAAGGTATGATATGGGCAATATTTTTGAAATTTGGGTGGAAGAAGATGCAGGCCATGTAGTTTGCACGCCGTATCAGCACACTGTGTGTTTGAGTGTGTGTGCGCTTGCACGCACGTGCCAAGAGAAAAGGCAATGCATGATATGTTGCTATTGGAATTCTGATCTTTTTCTGACACAGTGAGAGAGCAGTCCGAGTTGAGGTGCTGAGGGTGAGGGGGGAGGAGAAATGTAGCGGCAGATGTTTTATCTCTTCCATCTAAAGGGGGCAATCGGAAGTTCAAGCTCCCCCTCGGGGCACTGTGTGCCCACCTGTAGCACTCAGGCCAGAACAGGGGGGCTGACTTCCAGCTCGCTCTCTGCCTTCTAGCAGAGCAGAAGCGAATCAGGAGAGCAGCTTCTCAGAAGAGAAGGCAGTGGTAAGGTAAGAGGCGAGACAACGTGAGAATAGAAATCTAGGGATAGCTTACAGAACCGAGTGGAGAGAAATTGAGGGAGGAGTAAAAATCTGATAAAGAGAAGTTCAAAGATTTGGAACAGGACCTGGGATAGAGAGGAGGAGGGGGAAAATACAGGTGGTTAATCTCTCTGCAATCTTCATTGACTGTTTCTCTTCTGGACTATGTAGTTTTTATTTCATTAATTGATTGAGTAAATGTGAAATGTTTACATTGAAAAAATGTAATCTCAGTGAACTACTAAGATATTGATATCTATTTTGTACTGAAAGGTTCTTGCCAGTCACATTGACAAGTCATCTTGGCTCGAAGCTCAAGTGCGTCATTTATTACAAATGGCAACCCAACAACAAAATAATTTTGATCTGAAGACTTTGATGGAAGTGATTGATACAGTGAAACAGAAAATTACCCTGCTAGAAAGCAATGATCAAAGATTAGGTATGTCCACTATTTTATACTTCCCTTCTGGTGACTCGTCTGTCTGCATGTGTTCATGAAACAAAGCCGACTCCTGGCTGGACGGAGAGCCACAGCTGTCCAGGATACAGAGTGGCTGAAGCTGGTGTTTGTGAAACAGAACAGCAGTGGTACCCTGGCTACTCAGACAAAAGTGATGAAGAGCCATGAGTTGGGGCTGGAAGAGACAAAGGGTAGAAAAGGGCTGAAAAGGGCCAGGAAATGCCAAGAACAAAGGAATGACAGTTTTTCATTGAGAGTAGAAAATAACATTAAAGCTAAGGAAGAGATGGGGGCATGCTGCTTTGCGTGGAGGCACACATCAGAGATGTCGTGGATTTGGTTCCAGACCACTGCACTAAAGCAAATCTTGCATTAAAGTGAGTCACAGATTTCTTAGTTTCCCAGTGCATGTAAAAGTTATATTTCTACTACACCATAGTCTATTAAGTGTGCAATAGAATTGTCTCTAAAACACAATGTGCATGCCTTAACTAAGGAATACTGTATCGCTAAGAAATGCTAACCATCATCTGAGCCTTCGATGAGTTGTAAATCTTTGTGCTGGTGAAGGGCCTTGCCCGAGCAACATCAAAGATCACTGATCAAGATCACCGTAACGAATATAATGAAAAAGTGTGAAATATTGCAAGAATTCTCAAAATGTGACTCAGGACAGAAAGTGAGCAAAGGCTGATGACTACATGGCACCTGTAGACTTGCTTGAGGCAGGGTTGCCACAAACATTTAATTTGTAACAGAATCAATGTCTTGCACAGCTCAACAAAGCAGAATAAACCCAGGTACACATATACAGAAAAATAGTAAAGGGTTTGGCTGTTGGAAAGTATCCCAGTTTGAAAACGGTGGGGCTCGCCACACAAACACACGTTAGTTGAGTGCAGAGTGTGTCTCCTTTACACGTGGGTGAGCTTCAGCTCGAGAGGGCGCATCCGAGTTTCCTTGGTGCTGCTCTTGCCAAGACATGAGATTCACCGAGTTGATATTATTAACGCAGATGGCCCATTGGTGGACATGAATCCGCTTCATCTTTAGGATGTCAGAATTTTGTTGGTTCTTTTCAGATAACAAAAGTCCACTCTGGGCAAATGCTAAACACAACTCAGGCCTACAGAATCTCTTTCTTTCTTTCTTCCTTTGCAGTGGTTTTGGAAGGGGAGACGAACAAACACGATGCCCACATCAACAGCCATAAAGCACAGCTGAATAGAAACGAAGAGCGGTTTAAACTGCTGGAAGGGGCCTGCTATAACGGAAAGCTCATCTGGAAGGTGACTGACTACAGAATGAAGAAGAGAGAGGCGCTGGACGGGCACACAGTGTCCATCTTCAGCCAGCCCTTCTACACCAGCCGCTGTGGCTACCGGCTGTGCGCCAGAGCCTACCTGAACGGGGACGGGACAGGGAAGGGGACGCACCTGTCGCTGTACTTCGTGGTGATGCGAGGGGAGTTTGACTCACTGTTGCAGTGGCCTTTCAGACAGAGGGTAACCCTGATGCTTTTGGACCAGAGTGGCAAAAAGAACCACATTGTGGAGACCTTCAAGGCTGACCCCAACAGCAGCAGCTTCAAAAGGCCGGATGGGGAGATGAACATTGCGTCTGGCTGTCCCCGCTTCGTGCCTCACTCCACTTTGGAGAATGCCAAGAACACCTACATTAAAGATGACACCGTGTTCTTGAAGGTGGCTGTGGACTTAACTGACCTGGAGGATCTCTAGTCACTGCTTCTTGGGTGATAAAAGGACTTCCTGGGTCAAGAACCACAGAGGAAACTTTTGGTTAGCCCAGTGACTGAATTCAAACTCGGTGCACACTTGTAAATATTCGGGGTTTTGCCCTTAGTGTTTGAACTCAGTTAAGAACTTCCTAAGTGCTATCGTCTTTTTACATTTTACCCTGTTCCCCTTTGAAACGAAACACTTAGGATATCCTCTTGTTATTTATATTTCTCTATCCATTGAAAGATAGGAAAGTTTCTTGAAAGCAAGGTCTGGGGCATAGTTCCTCTACTAGGGACAGGGTTTCAGGGGAGACAGTCTCTGGTAAATGTTACTGAGAACACAGATGTGGAATTCCCAGTTGAAAATGCTTGAGTATTTGGTCTGCTGATTCTAGACTTGACCATAAGGCTGCAGAAGCCTTCTTTTGGGGCCGGTTGTCCCAGATCGGTAGATGGGTGGTGTACAGACGGAGACGGTATGTCCAGTTGGAACACATGGTTCTTGGTCAGGTACTGAATCACTACACCTCCAGATATCTTCATGAAATTCACCAGGAGTCCACACGCACAGTTTTGCAAGCCTGCATAGGAACTGGTGGTTAGAGGGAGCATCTTCATTGTCCCTGCTGAGGTAAAGCCAAAGGACGCACAAAGCGTGTGTATACGGAGATACAAATATCCAACTCAAGTTCAGATTTTATTAGGCTCCACCGTGTGAAAACTATTCTCAAAGATCAGAAACAAATATTAAGAGTTTTAATAAAGTTTGACCTAATGTATATATGTATATGTATACAAATAACTTAAAGGTATTTTGGTAATAGTAATGTGAGGATGGACAGAATTTAGTATATGATGGAAAAAATGTCATGAATGCATCAGAGGAATTTAAAACCTGGGGGAGACACTATTACAATTTCCAGTGGGTATCAGAAGTACTCCTATCCAAAACTGATTATTAAAATTAGTATTTCCGATTCCTTTTGAGAGAAATTTTGAATTCATAAATTGGGATGAAAATGAGCATTTATATAAACATGTGACTTTTCTTTTCCAAGTCCTGTGTCCTCCGTGAAGAACAGAAATGATTATGTTCTTATGCATCTATTTGTACTCACACTGAGGGTGTGTATGCAGGTTGAGATGAGTTCTGCTGACCCTTGAGAAGCCAGAGGTCAACATGAAGTACCCCGTTTGCCTGAGTCCTAATTCCCTGCTGAGCATTTCTCACCCTTTGGCCTGGCTCCCTTGATTCTGCAGTGACAAGTGCCACGGGCCGAGGGCCACTTAGTGCAGCTCACTCCGGCGATGACCAAGCACCCTACAACTCCTGAACTGTTAACCTGTTAGAAGAGGCATGATCTATACAGTGTTTTCTGGAATAACTGAAACTTTCTTGATGTCTTCTGTGAAAACTTCAAGACGCTCAATTTTCAAGATGGAGTCATTGAAACTTTCTTAATTTTTCTCTGTGAAACTTTCAAGATAGTTTCATAGTACAGAAATCATCCCAAAGGGTTACTTTCAAAGAAGTAAGTTCACGGCAGGAGTACAGTGAAGAACTACGCTGTAGCTGCTGGTGAACGCTGGTGCGGCGGACGGTCAGCCCAACACGTCACACGCAGGAAGCCTTTCTCTAGACCACACAGGTGGCTGTGTGTGTTTGTCCTCAGTGTTCAGTGTCTCTAATCAAGTCCAAGACCACCCTGTAACTCCTCGGGAGTGGAAGGTCATGTTGGTGTAACTAGCTCTAACTAGTGGATGTGGAAAACATTTTCAAGTCAATTTATCAAAATACTGGTTCTGTGTTTCAACCAACTTCTCGACATAAAAAGTCGAAGTGATGGCACAGTTTGCTTATGAGTTCAGAGTCCCTTCATCACTGAAAACAAGCAGAACAAGGTATTCTAGGGCAAAAAGCACTCCTTTACTGCAAAATAAGAGGTGATTTTTGTTTTAAAGAAGCATATCCATATAAACTATTTTTCCTCTTTTATAATATGAAATTATTTTTATTCTACAGGGTCCAGCAGAAGTAAGGCCTGCTTAAGTGTGGTTCGTAGGGTAATAATATGGGTGTAATAATTTATAGCTTTCATGTGAACATGTCACCTAAAATGTCACGTGGTGTGCTTGAGTATGTTATAGAATTACCTGCTTATGATTTTGTAATAAAGAAGGGGTGTTGTTTGTGCCATACTCTGTATATTAATAAGATTTAATTTTTATTTCCATTCCGGTTTGATTTTGATTCCTGGCGAAAAGCAAGCAAATGTACTGGCCATGAAATGGGAGTTGGCCTTGACAAAGGTATGTGCGGGGTTAGCGCAGGGTGGAGAGGCGGAGCACACACCAACGCGTATTGACAGATCTGACTTCTAGCCCTGGATCTCCAAATGTGATATTTTCAGAGAAATGAGAAATAGCCACAGATGAGTGCAAGTCAGCCCTCTTTGGGGGTAGGCTGTTCCAGACCAGGAGGTGAGTGGTGCACTTAGGACAGGGCGCCACCAACCCTTCGTGTGGCCCCCTCAATGAGTCCACAGTGCTGGTTACTCTTAGAAAGTGGCTGGACACACGGGTCTTCATCTTACATAAGAATTCTGGGCTGGAGATAGAGTTTTGATCGATGCACAGTAGGGGACTCAGGACAATGACCGAGACCACCCAGTCTTAGGGGAGGAGTGAGAGGAGGCTGCAAAGCATTTGCAGAAAGAATGGTCATAGGTAAGAGAAGTACAGTGAGGTGGGAGAGGGACGTACACATGGGCAAATGCCACCCTGAGAATAGCTGATCCTAGCACACCCCACAGTTGACTCTTTTGTAAAAAAAATTTTAAGTTGACTTTTAGAGAGAGAGAAACAAGCATAGGCTTGTTCCACTCATCTGCGCCTTCACTGGCTGCTTCTTGTACGTGCCCGACCAGCCTCGGCATATTGGGACAACGCTCCATCCGACTGAGCTCTCCGTCCAGGGCCCGCACAGCTGACTCTTGAGCTCCTTACCCACCCGCATGCTGCTCGCTCCTCAGTCTGTACCTGACCCTGCCTTTGCTTAAGCTGCAGACATAGTACCCGCTGACCACCTGAACCCAGAAGTCCTACAGGGACTTCAAAGTCAACTGCACCAGAAGTGAACTGGGAACCTTCCACTATCCCCCCACTGCCAACCTCTGACTCCTCCTGTTCATCCTGCCCCAGGTAATGACATCACCACCCTGAGAAGTTTGGACACTAGTCCAAATTCCTCCCTCACTGACCCCATCTGCACCCACCCAGTTCTGCCAATATGACCTCCAGATAAATTTTAAAATTACTCCTACTTATCGCTATTGCAGCCTACATTATTTTGCTTTGCAATTATTCTTTTTTCTTTTACCTCTTTCAAATTCAACTTCACACTGCCACACAGGAACCTCTAAATGAAAATCTGAGAATGGCTCCTCACTGCATCTACTGGCTCTAGCAACCCCAGGGCAGAGTCCCCCTCCTTGATGGTGTACCAGGCCTTGCATGCCCACCTCTGGCCCTCCAGCCTCACCTCCGGACAGTTCTGCTACTTCTCACTTAGCAGTAGCACCCCGAGCTGTTTGCCATTTGTCTGAGCTTCTGCCATACTTGTATCCAGAGTACTCTTCTCTGCCCTCGCCTCCTCCTTTGGTGAACTCTGGCCCTGGAAGATTCTGCGTTGTCCTCCCCTTCTCCAGGAGGTCTTCCCAAGCCAACCCTACTCGCTGCACACCCGGCCCTCCCCTTCACTAGGCTGAGAGTCCCTGCTCCGTGCTGTGTACTTTCTCATCTTTACCTCAGTTGGTGGACTTTCCTTCTTTTCTTTTCCCCAGAAAACAAGTGTAAATTGTGTATTTGTCAGATTTTTGTGTTACAGGCCAATAGAACAGATATTTTCCCTGTCCTCATGAAACATAAGCTGGAGGTCAGCCGCAGGTGGTGAACCAAAACCGTCCATGTGTGAATGTTTCCAGTCTCCTGTCCGATAAAAACATTGTCCTTCAACTCTCCCACCTCCCCCCAAAATGTATTTTTCAAATCAGTTCTCAATGTTCATGATTCAAAAGAAGAGAACAGGCAGGAAACATTTCAAAGGAGGGCTCTAGGAGCAAACTTTATGAAGAAAAAGGCTCTACCAATCCACACAAGGATTGGAAAGAATGAAATAAAAATGGGAATATGAACCTATGGGAGCTGTTGGGAAGTATGACTTGAAGCCCCTTTGATGCTTTTTTTCTTCCAAGAGACTGTTAAAGACTAAAGCACATTTAAAACGTTTTTTGGGCCCTGGCCAGGTGGCTTAATTGATTGGAGTGGTGTCCTGTGCACCGAAGTGTTGTGGGTTCCATCCCTGGTCAGGGCACATACCTAGGTTACTGGTTCAGTCCCCAGCCGGGCATGTACAGCCGGCAACCAATGTTTCTCACATCGATGTTTCTCTCTCCCTCTCTCCCTTCCCCTTTCTCTAAAATCAATAAACATATCCTCAGGTGAGGATTTTTAAAAGGTATTTTTGGCTGAATACACTTGTTGGAATGAACCTCTATGGGGAGACCAGACTCTAGATCCAGGACTTACAAGGCACTTGCCCAGAAAAGTACGTAAGTTGTGATAGGTACTTCGAAGAAGATAACAGACTACAGCGAGAGAAGGACTTGGCCTTGGTGGAGAGAAGACGTTCGTGCTTTGGGTTGTCAGGGAAGGCCTTTATGCCCAGGCAATGAGATGCTTAGTGCTCACTTTTGACCACCCTCCTAACCTCTGAGGAATTTCCTGTGAGAAACTTGCCTTTGCATGGGACCGAGGCCCCTCCAATGGGGCCTAGCCATGCAAATCTTCAACTTGAAGATGAAGTTGGAAAGATTCACCACTTTTTGCAAGATTAGCAAGATGAGAGAAGGAAGTGCACCCAGCCCCGGCTCTGCGGTGGTGAGGGGGTGAGGGGCCAGAGGCAGGGTTTCTGACACCCGGGCCTATTTCCGTAGACTGTTTGTGGGTGTCGAGTGGCGGTGGAAGCAGTGGCTTTTCGCCAGAGCACTGGCAGAGCTGCCCCCACACCTGGCCTCTGGTCTTCCCGGAGGTTCTGTGGGCTCCATACATTAAGTTCTTCCCCGGGCAGAGCAGATTCTGTCGTTTGTAAGTAAGAACCTAACTGAATCAGGCCGGACCTGAAAGGTGAGTCGGCCATAGAATGAGCGGGTGGGATGAGCATTTTGGGCAGAAGGCCCCGAGGATACAGTTCGGTGCCACGTACTGACAATTCCAATCAGACGACACGCATGATGGTGGACCCATAAGATTATAATGGGGCTGAGAACTTCCTGTCACCCCGTGACGTCGTGAAGTCATGGCACATGCGTTACACATGTGTTTGTGGGGGATGGTGGTGTGCACACACATAACGCACTGCCGGTTGTAGGAAAGTATAGCACACACAAGTAGGTACAGTATGTGATGCTTGATGAGGATAATGATTGTTACTGGTTTGTGTATTTACTATACCATCCTTCTCACCTTTATTTTAGAGTGCACTCTCTCTAGAAAGTTGTCTACAAAGAGTCTTTCTAAACTCTTTTATAGAAAGTTGGCCCTGAAACAGTATGCCGTGTTACCCCTGCAGCAGCCTCGTGAGTCTTATGTTTACAGCATCTCTTTATTACTGCATCAGTTTTTCTTGTGCTTGATTTCATCTCATGCTGCTTTGTGCAGTAACGTGCAGCACGGGTTTGCAGCCTAGGAGAACAGGCTCTACCATACAAGCTAGGCGTGCGGTAGGCTGTGCCATCTCGATCTGCGTAAGTGCACTCTGTGATGGTCTCACAATGATGAAACTGCCTAAGGACTCTTTTCTGAGACTGTATCCTGGTCGTTCAGCAGTGAATGACAGTGAAAGAATTGGTTTGGCAATGGAGAGAGTCCAGTGCGGTGAGAGCCCGCTAGAGGAGGAGAGAGTGGCACTTCATGAGGTTAGAAGAGAAGGCAGAGCCCGGATTCTAGACCTGACGTCATGGTGAGGAGTTCATGGTGCATGCAAGTGTAATGAAAGTTCACATAATTTTGGCAGGGCAATGCATGACCTGTGTTTTAAAAACTTGCTCTGTGTGGAGTACAGATCAGAAGGGGACAAGAGAGGACATGGGAAGAGTATTCAGATTATATCCCACTGCAGTTGTGGTGACATGTCTGTGCCCTTCCTACATCATAAACTCCTTGTATCTCATTCAAGTGCATAGAAGGCGCTCAGTGTATTAAAATGAATTACATTATAATAACTCACTGCATATAACAAACCTGCTAGGCAGGTATTATGCCCATTTCATAGATGAAAAAATTGGTCATTTGAGAAATCTATGTGCTATGTACTAAGCACTTAGAAGTCCTAAGAAGGACTTCTTCGGACTAATTATTTATGAATGTCCTCACAACAATCTTATAAGTTATATGTGGTTTTATCCCTATTCACAGATGAGGCGACTGGAACACAGAGAGGTCATGTGATAAGCTCTGGGTTACACAGCTAGTAAGCGGGAAAGCCAGAGTTCGAATCCAGGCAGCCTGGCCCCAAAGGCTGCCCTCTTAACCACCAGACGAGAATGCCTCATATGGGTACTGACCCACTCTATAGATGTTTATGTAAAAATACAAATTAAAATGAGCTAAAATATAGTAAGAGGAACCACTAGAACAAAAACTGAACATATAACGTTCAAACCACTAGAGAAAAAAACTGGAAAAAGGCACTTTATCAAACCAAAGAAAACAATAGGAAGCATTTTAGAAAAAAACAATTTAGAACTAAATCCAAACATGTCATTACTGTGAAATGAGACAATACTGCTAATGGGGGGGGCACATGTATATGTTTTTACATACATATCTAAAACAACACTGAGCTGACAATTCCATCCCTGGGTATATATTCAGAGATATTCCTGCATATTCGTACCAGAAGACACCAGAAGAAAGTTTACTACCAGCAATGTTGATAACAAAGACAAACAAATAAACTGACAAAGGGTGGCATAGATGTGGGACAGAAACTCTCCCACACCCCTGGTGGAAGGGCGAACAGGTACAAGCTGGCTCACACAGAGTGGAGGCGTGAAAACCCTCAACCCCTGCAATTCCACTTGCAGACCTGTACCCCAAAACTCTTGTCTGTGCCGACATGATATGCACAAGAACGCCCATTAACTCATGTTGGAATGGCAAAAATCAG